AATGGGCCACCGGTTTTGGGGAGAAGGTCAATAGTGAGAGATATCGAACCTGTGGCAAGTTCTTGTCATTTAATAGGTTGAATTTCTTAATTGCTGAAGGGACAAGCTGAGTATTCAGAGAACTGTTCTATTCCACTTTCAATTGAAGGTAGTGGCTTCTTTCATGAAGCAAGGTCTATGGATATATGGGGTATTATATCTGTGGACATGGAAGTAAAAAGAACTGTATTTTTCCCAGGGTTGGAGTTTTACTGCTGGCGTTAATTGGCATTTTAATTGTGGTGTTTGGTGTCACTTCATTATTGTAGTTTATATATAAAACTGGATTTACTTATAAAAGTTGAAAAGAAAATTATTTTCTGCAGGTTTATGTTGATACCTTGGTGAAGAAAGCATATGAAAATTGGAACCAAGTTATAGAGTATGACGGTGAATCACTTGTAAACTTTAAGCAAACAAAACGGTTGAGGTCATCTCGGAGTGAACTTCCAGTGGATTATCCTAATGCCTTAGAACATCAACTACAGCTACCGCGGTTGCCAAGTTCAGCTTCTAATGAGCAAGATTTGGCAGTTGGAGGTAATCATGTTTGGATAATTATTGATGATATTTCATCAATTTGGGTTGAATATTCACTTTTTAACCTCAGTTTAGTAAATTGGTGTTGTGTCTGTTGATGATATTTCATCGGTTCTGGCAAGAATAACGTTCATTGCTGCTAGGATGAAATCTAGCTAGCATTTATAAGCACCATGCTATCCAACAGTTTCTTAGTTGTTAATGAAGGTTCACCTTAAACAAAAGGGATATTGCAAGTTGTTCTTTTATCAGTGACTATTTATTCTAAGTACAGGTAGATTAGTAAATTCTGATGAAAACAGTTGACTTCCGGAGAGAGTGTCAAAAAATATACAGAACAACCAGGTGACTTGTTAGAATGTGGAAAACAAATCCTCAGGCATTAGATTCTGGCACTGTGCCAAAAGGAGTAAATTGATTATACCAACTAAAAATACTTGTGTAGCTTCAAGAAAAACTGAGAACATTTGCAATGAAAAAAAATTATGAAAAAATTTCGTATGGCTTCATACTGTAACATTATGGTTTAGATTTGCTTGGATCACTTCTGTTGAATCTGAAGTGGGAGGGTCTTTTCTGCTTTGAACCTTTGCAGACTTGGTTGGTTTGGCTGCCTGTGGTCTTTGGCTCATGTGATGTATCATTTATATGGATGCCCATGTTTAAGATCAAAATTTTACTGAAACATGATGAATGAAAAATAAGTTTGGTTTAGAGATCAAAAAGATCATATTAAAAAAGTACTGGTGGTACCCTATTGGTACCTTGTGAATATTATTATTTAAACTTTTTTAATTAAAAAAGAAAAGGAGATTCAAAAGCTTCACACTGTAACAGTATCTCAGACTCTGACAAGATGATGAATTTTGCTGGCTATATGTTTATTTAAAGTCAAATGACCTCTTCCTTTTATGGGGCAAATAATATGAGTTATATGACAAAAAATTTAGAGGTACTGTTGATTCTTGTATCTTCTTCAAGGGAACAGTACCTTTGGCATTTTCTACCCAAAAAAATTATACCATTGCATTAGAAGGCAATTGTTTATTACACTTCTCCCTTTCATGAATTCTTTTCTTGATTGAGACTCTTGGTTCACTTTCCTCCCTCTTAAAGCTGGGAGACCTCCACTTTTATTCAGCGCATGAACAGAGGTTCCTTAGAATCTAATGGGGTATCTTGACATGGAACTGAAGCTTATTAATTTTTGTATTCATTTTCATTTGAAGAAAAAAGAATCATTCTGATGAAGTTTATGTCTTATCTCTTAATCAGAAGAAATTCCATGATTGGGAAAAGAATTAATTATGCTGTTAGGTGGTCAACTATAATATTTTACATGCAAAATTTTGGGGAAATGTCCTTCACTCATTTCTGAAGAATATGACATCTGCCTTTGGGGGACATTTTTAGCTCACCATATTTATGTGGCTTTGAGGAATTTAGGAGTTTTTTTCATTCAGTATTTTGCTTGAAAACAATTAGAAATCATTATGAGAAATTGCTGGTTTTCTCTGTTCTTTTTTTTTTTCTCAGCTTCAGGATATAATGAAAATCTAGCTACAAGATACCAAACCCAGCCACAGATTTTGAATTCTAATCCTCGTCCCCATTTTGATGGTGCTGCATTCGTGCCACATGACCAGCTGAACACCCACTCTCACTCTACACCAAGTGCAAGCAATGACAACAGTGTAGTGGGGCTGGTTCTTGGTCCTCCACAGTCATCTACCTCAGGGTTCCACACTCTTGGCTCTTCTGTGCAGCACTCTAATCTTAATCCTTTTGATGATTGGTCACACAACCGAGACAGGGGACATGATGACTTCTTTTCAGAGGAAGACATCCGTCTTCGAAGTCATGAGATGCTTGAGAATGAAGAAGATATGCAGCAGCTACTCCGACTCTTTAGCTTGGGAGGCCATGGCTCTATTAACATGCCTGAAGATGGGTATGCATTCCAATCCTTCATGCCATCGCCAATGCCAACCTTTGATGAGGACCGCACCCGTTCTGGCAAAGCTGTTGTGGGTTGGCTGAAGATCAAGGCAGCAATGAGGTGGGGTTTCTTTATCAGGAAGAAAGCAGCCGAAAGGCGGGCACAGATTGTTGAGTTAGAAGAGGAAGACTAACTGGGTTGTTCTATGCCAAACTTCTCACCAGATGCATATGTTATTTGGAAAATTATAAGATAATATTCAAGAGAGTACAACAGACTCAAGGCTTCTGGAGATTGAAGTCCATGGTTTTCAAATTCTTGAAGACCTCTGGTGTTTCGAGGTTGGTATTATTGTGGGTGAGGAATCTCTTCTTGTACAGTTGCCTGCCTGTACAGTGAGTCATTTAATGACTTCTCACTTTAGTAGCATCGTCCTTTCATCTTTTTGTGTATGAAATTCGCTCTTTCAGTTTATGACCACTTTCTTGTTGACTCAGTAGGGAGGCACACTGAAATGTTAGGTTTGACATGCATTTGTCGTTCCAGTTAATTGTTGTCCAAGTATTTATGAAGACTTATGAAAATTGTTTGGATATTATCACGCAGAGTGGTATTTCAAAAAAAAAAAAAGAAAAAAAAAAAAGAAAAAAGAAAAATATCATTGCGGTGTCTGAACGTTGCTGTAAATCATCCAGCTTTTCTAGATTTTATTATCCGTTACTTTAAAGAGCCTGTTATTCTTGCATACGAGATGAATTTTGCATGCTAAATATATTGGTTATGGGGACAAGTTCAACAATTAAAATTTAGCAGTCCCTCTTTGATATTGTTTGAGTTGGTCTTTGATCTCTATTAAGTTTTAATGTTGAGACCTGATGCCATTGATCAGAATGTATGTGACAGGTGGTCTAAAAGCATACGACTTTTACAAATGTAGCACCGTCGACGAGGATTAGAATTCAAAAGCTGTGGCTGACTTTTGTATCTTGTAGATGGATTGTCATTATATCCTGAAGCTGAGTACAAAAAGAACGAGGAAAACCAGTAATTCTCATAATGATTTCTAATTGTTTTCAAGCCAAGTACTGAATGAAAAAAATTCTCAAATTTTTCAAAGCCACGTAAATACGATGAACTAAAAATGTCCACCAAAGGCCGATGTCATATTCTTTCAAAGCAAAATTAGTAGAAGTTTATTGGCGCATAATAGATAGAATCGCTTTGTCTTCAATTTTTTTCAAGTAAGACATGTTTTAATACAAAGCCTAGAACTTATAATTAACTTTATAACCCAAATGTCACTTTTGAGAGCCTAATTGTTGACTCAAATTTGGTCCATTTTAAGCCCAGTAAATTTTTTTAATCCAACACAAAAAAAAAAAAAAAATAGAAAATTAAATTAAATGATTAACTCGAAAAGATTAAAATCCATCAAACAACAATGCGGATAATGGTACTCATGGCCAGGATTTGGTGTTTCAAGATCTCTTAAGATTTTTTAGGAAGAAGAGTTTTCACAAATGCCATATATAATTAATTATACGTACAAACATTATATGTATCTATACACTGTATACGACAGGTGGTCTAAAAGCATACAACTTTTAGATCTCGTTGAGACTATAAATAAAGGGAGGATGAAGAGTTGAAGATGGGATTTAGGGGTATTTTCCAACTTTTCCCAAGGGGAAAGTAGAAATAACCCTAGGCCTCCCGGAGCTCCCTCTCAAAATTTCTAAAGAAATTCCAAATCCGCATTCAACATGCACTTTCCCTCTTCTCTTATTAATATTGTAGACCTGTAGATCAAGATTGATGTTGATCGGAGTTGATGAAAAACATTATTTATCGAGGTACAGATCGAATCTATCTATTTTTAGTACTTTTCAAGAATTGTTCTATCTTTTTTATAATTTTATATAGTCAAAAATTATAAATTTAATAATAATTTCGTTAAAGTATATTATAATTTATAGTGCGAAGTTGCAAATACATTGACTAACCAAAATTTTTTTTCTGTTTTTTGTTTTTACAAAATCCAGCTTATATGCTAATTTATTTGGGGGGAAAAAAATAATTTGTTGACGACAAACATGAAATCATCTTTGAATGTTCCATTTTTGCTTTGGAGTACCGACACAGTGTCTATACGTGCACCATTGATGTACAATAAGTGGAATTCATCCTGTAACTAATGGAGAAATAATTCAAAAAGGATGAAGAAAGAAATTCAATCAAAATTCGTTGTTTACGATGAAAAATACATAAATTGATTCGTTTCTCTTGATTCACTCAAATTAATTATGGTCCACAATTATAATATTTTCAATTACAACCAATTTAGTAAAATGAAATTATTTAATATTTTGAAAGGTTCAAATCATTATTTAATTAATTAATATAAATAAATTAGTATATACAACCTCATCCGATAAATAATGAATCGAATCATAAATGATATATATATATATATTATTTTTTAACTCTTTCTTCCTGTTTATAGAAGTAAAATAAACATTCACTAATGTCTTTTGTATTTTCAGATTGCTACTGATTTCTAAGAAACCAAAAAAAAAAGTAAAAGTAAAAGCAATGGAGTGAAAAGAAATTGCCCTGCCTGGTTTAACCATGCCTGCAAAGTCAGAAATTTTAGTTTATTATCATGAAAACTTATTCCTGTAATTTTTAGGGCATTGTGTTTCTAATTGGTCATCTTTGATGCTTAACATTTTTCCTCTTATCGTTTTAAGTGAATATATATATACACGTATGTATATTCTTATTTTTAAATTTAATTTAATTGATTTTTCTATATATTAAAAAATTTACTGGGCTTAAAATGAACCAACGTTGGAGGCAACAATTAGGCCCAAAAATAACATTTTGGTTTTGACCTTTTTGAATATATCAAAGGGAAGCGAATACATTTGTAATTTTAATGTTTTTATAACAAATTCAAAAAGGAATTAAGAAATTGATACTCAAATTTAATGTAACATTATCCAATTAAAAATACTCGTTAAAGATATACAGTTCTATATGAAAAATATAGTATTTATAATATAATTATTAAATAGCTCTTCTATGTAAATCTCAAAATATGTAATCCTTTCGTGTGACTCTTTCATTTGGGATCTACAATTCTATTTCATCGATAAATTTTTTGAAAATAAAATATCAAAGAATAAAAGAATTTTGAAATGCAAAAATAGATAAAAGAATTTATAAGACGAATAGTGCGGCTGGATTTTGGTCTAAGCTATTTTGCACTCTGGCGGCAGGCCTTGGGGAAATCTCTTGACGTCTGTGCAGTAATTATAAATCATATAATTTTTCTGCACCCATTTCATCCTCCTCTGATCCGTAGAATCCGACTCTTGAGAAAGCCATTGATTCCCATTCGAGCTCGAGCTGCAAGACGATGCTCCGTTGGACCAGACACAAGCATTGTCGCCATTGAAGCTCCTGTAAGAAGCAGTGAAAGGAGCCTGTGACCAGTCTGTCTTCACAAGCCCACCTCTCGTAGCCCAATCATCAGCATTCCACAGACTGGAATAGATTCTCATCGGCTGATTCTTTGGAAACGGAACACCAATGGACTCCATGTTCTTGAACTCTCTGATCGGAGTTCCATCAACAGAAAATCTGAAACACAGACCAAAAAACGGAGTTTTTAAGTCAACCCTGTTCAAAAAATTGACCGAGAAATCAAATGCTGAGAATTTGAATTGATGGGTTTAACTTACATAATTCTTTGAGGATTCCACAGAATGGAATAAGTGTGAAAATCAGCAGTTGGGTCAAACCAGAGATAGAACTGTTGTTCTCTATTTCCCTTGCCTTGACTAAACACATTAGTGTGAAGAATGTAAGGATCACCACTAAGATTTCCCAAGAACTCAAAATCAATCTCATCCCAAGTCGACCCTTTTGAAGACAACTGCAAACAAATTCAAAAACAGTCAGATAAATTAGTTACTCGCCGAAGAATTAGGTCAGTCAGATACAATGTAGAAAACATACATAGTAGGCAGTAACGGTGCCGGCAGAGTTTCCGGAGACAAGCTTGAGTTGCATATCGATCTTGCCGAAAAGATACTCGTTCTTGGACTGGAAGCCGGAGCCAGAGGCTTTGTCAAGAGACAGAGTAAGAAGTTCGCCATTGTTTAAAATCTTGCCCCGGCCATCTCCCCAAGTGATGTCGAAATGTCTATGGAGGTTTCCGGCGCAGGATGCAGTAATCGAAGAAGCAAGTAAAATCAAAGTGAAAGTGAGGATTGAAGAAGCCATTTCAGAGGGAATTGCTTTGTGGGTTGTGGGCAAAAGATTGTTATACTTACTGATTTGTGGATAGATGAGCAGGTTTTTGGCAATTTATAGAACAGGCGAGGGAAGGCAGTGTAATAATGGAGGAAAAAGCAGGGAAAGCTGCGCTGTGTCCAGTTGGGTGATGCAGAGAAATATTAGCTGTAAAAATGGATAGAACACACGGTTTGGTTTTTCTTTAATATCCTCTAAAGGGGAGGAAACTGGCGCGTTCCATTTGGCAAAAACAAGTTTGTCTAAATGTTTTGTTAAATTAATTACTGTATTTAAAAAAAAAAAACTTTAATTAATCTCTCTTTTTAACTTATTAATGATAATACTAAGTGTTAAATTTTACGACACCATATTTTTTAATATTTTTATTAAATGACATATGATATGATGAGAGAAAAATTAATTTAGACGGATTAAAATTTAAAAATAAATTATAAAAACTCTAATTTTCTCTTTTCTCCTTGGCTTCCTCTCGTATCGTTCTTCTTTCGTCGAGCTAACTCCTTTTCTCACTTTCCACTCATTTTTCTTCATCAATCTTTGTAATTAATACATCTACACCAATATGTGTTGTTCTATTTAACAAGTAATATTATTATTAATACTGTTAATAAACAGTTAAAATGATAAATTAAATTAAATTTTTTTTAAAAAATATAAGAATTAATTTCACCAAATTAAGGCAGGAATCAATTTTAATAAAATTACTTTTGCATTTGCCAGCTACCTGCCAAGTAACCACTCTGCTTTCTGACGCGGCTGCTACCTTGGAGTGGGTAAGGATAAATGATATCATGTTTTAATGTTTTGTTTTTTTTTTTTTCCAAAAAGAGATTTATATAGTTTAGTAAGTAATTTAACATAACTCAATTTAAATAGAGATAAGTAGAAGGAATAATTGATATTTTAAATTCTAATTTAAAAATATCAAGTCTATTTCTTATATTTACCGAACGCGTTGAAATTGCTCGCTCTATTAAATTATCATTTTTTTCAAATTAAAAGGATCCGGTTGTAGATTAGGAGGATGTCTTCCCTTAAAAAGATCAAGAAGAAATTGTATGAGCATTCGTTATGAAAATTATATTTTGTAATTAAACGGTTATCTATTTTATTTTGATTCTATCACACAAATGTCATGTATTATAAATAATGCTACAATATGATCAAGAGATAAATTATGAATATTTTGAATATATAAATATTTTGTTAATTATATTTTCGTTACATTTTAAGTGTTTGATGACTGTAATTCCTTATATGGAGAGCGTGGGCGTTTATAAAATTAAAATTAATTAAATTATATATTCAAATTAAATGAATAAATTTTTTAAATAAATTTAAATATTTAAACATTAATTAGGTGTTTCATTCTTGTTGGTATCTTGCAATTTTCGTTTTAAAATTTACCAATTACTGTAAAAGATTTGATACTACACTGTATAATTCTATTTAATTTTTGTTATTTAATAAGATATAGCTAAAACTAAAATTAACAAAAAAAAATTGTTTACTTATAAACTATATGTAACGGCCCCGGAAAATATTAAAATGAAATGAGTATTTAAATATATCGAATGCGGAAGCGAGATCAAAATTTAAAGTTAACATCCCTTACATGAAAAACCAAACAAACGTACTTAAAATATAAAAGGTTAAACTAACTAAGAAAGAAAACTCGAAAATAAACTATGCGTATGACTACAGAGTCTCTAGGCATCCCCTTCGTCGTCCTCCTGCGGAACGGGCTCGGGAACCATGTCTTCCTGATCTGAAATGGTTAATTAAGGAGTGAGCTACACTAGCCCAGTAAGAACATCACGATATCTCACCGTCACGGAGATAAAGGTGGGTAGAAAACCACAAAAAGACCAATGGAGCATAATTTACAATAAACTCGTTTATTAACAACAAAACCTTTTATCAATAATAAATCTTTTACCATCCACTTACCTTGGTGGAATTTATGAAAACAATATGAGAAAAACAATAACATTATCATAATCATTGAATAATCTAAGCTGTAAAACATAACACTTATCACGCCTCTTGTAATTCAATCATTGTACAACATATCTTTTTTTTCTCATTTACCAGCCTACTAGTATCCGTGGGGGTCCATAGGGGTTCCGCTACCCGTTAAC